TATTTTTAGGCTCCCACTTTGATTGAAATGAGTAAAACAGGAAGAACTGCATGTAATTCTCTGATTATTTACTTAACACTTTTAAACTGAGGTTCTGTTTGCAGCTATTAGAATAATGTAGTAAAACCGTTGAACCAAAATTGTTTATCTGTAGTGGTTTTTGTGAAATTAAACATATTAAAACATGAAATGAAAAGATTGAAACTTGAACAAATGTAAAAAGAAAAACGTTGGTGTTTGCATCCTCTGCACTTTTCATTCATTCATTTTATTCATCATGTAAATGATGATGCATATAATACACAATAACATTAACATAAATGGATAACACAATAAAGCATAAAGCTTATTTCCATTGTGGTCCAAATGGCACAAATTCAAGTTTGTTCTGAGTGTGGGTTGGACACCAGAGGTCATGGAGAGCAGGAAGTTTGGGAACGTTAATGTCTTTGTGGTTTTTTTGCAAAAAAAACGGGGATCTTTCGGCATCTTTAGGCCAGGATCTTTAATGTGCACCGAGGTGGTCTGCAGTCGAGTGTGAAACAGTCAGGATGAGAGTGAGCTTAAGTCTGAGGCCATATGMGTGAAAGGATGAGTCTTTATGTCAAATGGGGGAGTTCAAGTGTCGTGGTAGATCCCAGATATGAGCGACTGAAATGAGCTCTGTGTAGGGTGTCCGGCCTCAGCCTTTTCCAGGCACTGGAACGAGATCTGAGCACAGACCCAAAACTTGCTGAAGTTTGAAGATGATCAGTCCTCTCTGGCCTTGGAACACCTCGGCTTCCTTCAGGAGGAGCAGGAGAATATCGCTGAGAAGAAGAAGGTCTGGGTTTCTCTCCTGGACTTATCTCTGCAGCCTCACTAACAAAATAATACATTTATGATAGTTGAATTATTGATATCAGGATGTTGTCATATAAACAATAGTCTTTGCAAAATCCAAACTTTTAAGTTATTTTGAATTGTAGTTAATGGATGATTCTATAGATATAAGAGGGATGGGTAAAAAAACTTAAGTTTATACTTCTACCCACTCCTTTGAACGTGTGAATAGAATTAACCATTGTTCTTCTTTTGTTTACTTTTTGTTTAAAATGTGTTTTCTTTTGTATAACTATTTTTTATTACATTACGTTCAATAGAGTCAAACTCCTAACCCCGACATCTTGTCTTTTTATCATTTGTTCCTTCTTTGTGGATGAAGCAAAAACCCTTTTAATTATTTAGCTTTAGAGGTGCTGGTAGACTGGCTTTTAACTGTGGACACAGCCTTGACTGATTACTAACCTCATGAAAAATGAGTGGAATCACATGATTTTACACAAGAAATGTATTTATTTTTCTCAAAACGGAAGAACTAATAGCACGTGATAAATGTGACTGATACTTTTATCTGTTTTGAAACAACCACTCAAGTTAATACAATCGTCATTTTGACAATAAAGTAATATTATGACAAAACACCTGCACATGATCACCTCCATTGCATGGTGTTTGATGTCAATAGCTCAAAGGTTGCGATAAAGAGCTTTATCTTGACTGTAAAGACCAAACTTTCAGTTTGCATAAATAGCTGTCATTTCTCACAATCTATTGTTTCCTGACTGTGTTTACTCAGCAGCAGACGGAGATAACAGATTCAGCGATGCTGACCCCTTCGAACRGCCCCGGAGAGTAGATTGTCTTCACTTGCTATCAGTAGATCTTCTTTTGTTAGCGGAGGTGCTCAGGCCATCCTCAGAGCCCTTGCAGATAATGTCACATATCTAATTACACGCAGGATGCCTCCGTTTTATTCTTATCGGGGGCTCGGTTGTGGCTAGTGATGGTTAAGTTAATAATGTAGGCTTAAGATGAGTTGGATTAATCCCTCGAGGCTATTATTACAATGTCTGATGTCTGAATGGGGAAAAAGTGAAGGTTGTGAAATTATTGTGACAGATTTCGTGTCAAAACTCACAAAATCGAAAGAATGCACACCGCCCGCTGACTTGAATGACTTTCAAAATAAAGTTATGCACAATTTCATGCAGTATCACAGGATGTCACATTCAGAATGTTTTTGAGTTATTACCACGTGAAATTTTAGCATAAAATGTGTAAAACTGACTGAATCATAACCGTGGCTGTGTTAGCATATGTTGATGAGTTGTAGCAGACATCTTGAACCTTCAAAATAAAATCATCATCGTCTGTCTTTCGCCTTTTGGCAGCGGGCGATAAGTAAATCCTATTAAAGTAGACTTATATGATTTTCTTTCACACGTATTACTTACACTATATGAACCTGAGGCCCCCCTCCACTCCCCTGAGAAACATGAATTAATAAGTGACCGTAGTGTGTGCACCAGTGCACCCCTCGATGTGATAAGTTGTGATAGCTGGTTCTCCTAACAACCACACACACTATGTCGTATTCTGCTTGTCACAGAAGCCACAACCCCTGACAGTTTTTCCAAGAAGCTAGTGGCACAGCTCCTCCTCCTCCTCACAAACACACAGATCAGCCGCATCAATACGCATGTGTGTGTGTCCCTTGTGTGTTTGTGTTTACAGCAGCCGGTCGCACTGATTTTACCTACCGTACACGTGCCGCCTCACACCTCACACCTCACGACACGTCGCCTTCAGCCAAATGGCAGGGCGCCTCCCACTGACGCAAACAAACGACATCAGGCTCCGCTCGCTCGGAAATGTGTCGCACGTCTACATTCCTGATGCAGGAATATCTGTTGTATGGCCACACATGTGCTCAGTGGCATGTGAGGAATGAAGCTTTCATAGACAGACGGACGCGCTCTTGTTGGTATCTGATGAATGCATGATAAAAACCGGCGGATAAGGTGTGGTATTTCTGGTTTGACATGCAATATACTCTTGTTAAATTCTAATCAGACAGTGGAGACCCATTATAGAGCATTGAACAATAAAGATAAGACACTTCCTGTGTGCTTTTGTTGCCGTTGGAAGTTTTTTTCAGTATTCGGTGCATGGGGAACGTTTCACCATAAAACACCTGGTTATAATTTGAAAAGACAACTTGATGCAGCAATAAAATGACCATCCGGATCTTTTGAAGTAGGGTTCTGTGAAACGTTTACAAACTATTAATGTCTTACCTGTTGCAGATAGCTCTTTGAGCAGCCTGAGTTTGGAGATTTTATTTTGACTGGATTGTTGTGCAAGTGAACTCTCTTTTCTTTGAGACAGAGTTTTTCAATTTGTTTTGCAGTCTTACCTTACAATAAATATGTTTATATGATGTCATATTTTTAAACTTCAGTTTTTTTGTTTTTAGATATTGATCCCGAGAGAAACTCAAAACTGAAATCAAAATGGAGTAATTTCTGACACTGGAATGAGACTGAAACAACCCGACTTAGTAACATCAAAGATCAATTCACAGTTCACTGCTTCTCCTATCAGTTCAATAAAGATAAAGAGTCTGTTATGAGGAAACCCAAAGATAAGACGTTGCCTCCGCGCGAAATATCCTGCTTTATTTGTCACCTCTCCGAGTATAAAGTTTAGAGATTAGCTTTACTGGCGTCCGGAGGTATTTGCTTTGAGACTGAAACACGCAAAGCCATCAAGCGAAGGTTATGGCACCGTATCTGAGGCGTGCGTTTTTGTTTTCACTGAATGCTCGAGCTGTGACGCATCCAGGGGAGCTTTAGCCTTCAACTCGCCGCGGCAGAGGCACTCCCCAAAGTGTTTACTCTGCTACAGTATTTGCATCTGAGGCTTTGAGTGACAGCTCGCTCGGATAATTTGATATTTAAAGACAGAAGTTCAATTTTTATATTTCAGCTGCCCACTCTGTCTGGATCATTGTCTTTTTTTTCCTGCCTCCACTCTGTCTGTTTTTCTTCTATTCCCTCGAGCAAAAGGGGACAGCTGCTTATCCCTGATAAACGCCTGGCATTTGGCACGGCGAGAGCAGGGAGAGATGGGAGACAGGGAGTGGGGAGGAATGAGAGAAAGAAAAAAAAAAGTGAGGGGTGTGGCATATTGATCGAGAGGGTGGCGAGGTGGGGGATTAAAGAGCGCAGATTTTTTWATTTTTTTTGGCAGCGGTCACCCATTAGAATCGGAGGAGAGGGGAGGGGATGAAGAAGATGAGGTCTAAACGTGACCTAGATTCCTGAGCGCCCAGACATAATAGGCAGAGCTTTACCCCACGTGAACTCCCCCTCCCCTTTGAACCCCACCTCAGTCAAAACAATAACAGTGAAGAGGAGCTGCAGGAGAAGACGCGGGGGCCAGTTTGGGGGATGGTTCCAGCCCACCACCTCTGCAATCTYCTCCACACAGCAGCTGCGTCGGGACCCAAACCTCTGGAAATTCCTGGAAAGAGAACTTGAGGAATGTCGGAGTTTGTGTTTGAACAAACTTCTGCTGGGGGTCTTTTTCAACACCCCCAGCTCTTTTACGGTCTGCATTACATCTTTGGCTTGGAAAGAAAATAAGACTTTACAAATAGAGAGGATGTAAAGCAGTAAGAGTGTGGTTTTAGAACATACGTGCTGAAAAAAATAAATTTTTGGACATACAATGGTACAGTAAATAGAAGAAGAGTTTAAGAAGAAACGCCAGTGTAAGAATGCTGCTTTATATTTTTAAGCAGGCTGTGTCTTATATTATTTCTGGCGACCATCAGTGTTTATAGTCCAGCAGTTTATTTAAACTACAAAATAGTCCACTTTATAAAACTGCAAACTCTGCAAAATAAATGCTAACCTAAGGGAAATAACATTCCAATCATTACTTTCTCAGACCTTTTAAAACTTTTGAACCATTTTGAGATCAAATGGACAATTATTCTAAAAACAAATTATTTAAATGTCAATCTGCCCACTAAACTGTAACGTTGTGTAATCCCCCTCTTCCCTGCTCCCAAATTATATTCCTATCTGTGTGACATGATCAAAGTTTTAGTCTGGGTCTGTGTTTGTTTCACCTTTCTGTCTGTCTGCTGTTCTCTGTTTCTTATCTTGTAGCTGTTGCCTTGGTTGCAGTGTCAGATCCAGACAGCCATTTTGATGTGAGCCGTCTCACCGGGATGCACCACGTGGTCTGAAACCATCCCTGAGCGTCCTTGTTGACCCACATGTTTACATTTTGGACAGTACCTGTCTGATCTTTTAACCATCTTGAAATGCAGTCGGTCTTATTATGCATATATATTTTTAAGAGCAGATAAGTGTGAAAATGTAAAAGGGAGCCTTTTTAKTTTGTTTTCAAAATGATGCGTTCATTTTAATTTTCCCTTTTAATTATCCGTTTGCCACTACTTCAGTTACAGTAGGTGGAACCAGGTGTGTTCACTCAAACTGATCTTTGAAAAACTGCAATACGGTATATGCTCAGTTTATCTGTTCTGTACAGGCTAAAACCACCTCACTGTGTTGCAACTAATTGGCAAATAACATCTCCAAAATGTCTCATTTTAAACACTTCTCAGTTTTGTTAGAGGGGTCCTACAACCCTTCTCAATTTTGTTACTTTTTTTAAAACTTGTCTTAAACCCTTCTCAGTTTTGTTGCAAGCATCTTAAACTTATCTCAAACTTTTCTCACTTTTGTTGCAAGCATTTTAAATTGGTCTCAAACTTTTCTCAATTTTGTTGCAAGCATCTTAAATTTGTCCCAATTTTTTCTCAATTTTATTGCAAGCATTTTAAAATCTCAAACTTTTCTCAATTTTGTTGCAAGCATTTTAAACTTATCTCATAATTTTCTCAATTTTGTTGCAAGCATTTTAAACTTATCTCAAAACTTTTCTCACTTTTGTTGCAAGCATCTTAAATTTGTCACAAACTTTTCTCAGTTTTGTTGCAAGCATCTTAAATTAGTCTCAAACATTTCTCAATTTTGTTGCAAGTGTCTTAAATTTGTCTCAATATTTTTCTCACTTTTGTTGCAAGCATCTTAAATTTGTCACAAACTTKTCTCACTTTTGTTGCAASCATCTTAAATTYGTCTCAAACTTTTCTCACTTTTGTTGCAAGCATCTTAAATTTGTCTCCCTTTTCTCAATTTTGTTGCAAACATTTAAAACTTATCTCAAAATTTTCTCAATTTTGTTGCAAGCATTTTAAACTTATCTCGAACTTTTCTCACCTTTGCAAGTGTCTTAAATTTGTCGCAAACTTTTCTCAATTTTGTTGCAAGCATCTTAAATTTGTCTCAAACTTCTCACTTTTGTTGCAAGCATTTTAAACTTATCTCAAAAATTTCTCAATTTTGTTGCAAGCATTTTAAACTTATCTCAAACCTGGGCTTCTTAAAGTTGTTGGAAAAACTTCTTGATTTAGTTTCCGTAAGGTATAAAGCTGTATTTTAACCCATATCTGGAGCTTTTTCTGTTATCAAAAAAATTCAGGGCTCCAAATGTCCAGGTCTAAAAACCATGCAGATGTTTATTAATAATTGTAAAAGAGCTGGTTGAAATTTGCAAATTTTCATTTCAAATTTGAACTCCAGAAGATCAAATCATAAATGTCTGGGCAACTACAGTATCAAGGTAAGACATAGGTGATAAAGATGGACATAAAATACAGTTTTGAAAGCCATACACACAAAAACAGGTTGAGATGCAATTTAAGGTCACAAACAGATTTTTGCTCACAATTTTGAATAGCTGTTCAATTTTTATACCGTTTTGTATTGTAGAATAAATTTTATGTAAAACATTTAAAAGTTGACATCATATTTGGATTTTTCAAGTGTTTTTCTTGTGATTTTACACGAGAAAACCATTTTTAAATCTCTATTTTCTGATGCCATTTCACTTTGAGTGGTGTTTTTTACTCTTGAGTGGAGAAAAAAAGGCCTGTGTGCAGTATTTTTCTCAGTTTAGTCGGCTGATATTCTGAACCAAAAATGTTGGTTTTTGGTTGAGTTACCACAGGCAGATCACAGGAATATTTGAGAACCCAAGGTCAGTGGGTTGGTTAAACAGAATTTGGTAGCGACCTGGGATGGGGAGTTAGTGAGTGCAAGCGTGGGAGGATTGTGGGTTTGCTGTGCAGGGGAAAAAGGAAAGAAGAGAATGAGGCAGGCTCGTCCCGTAGCCACTATAGCGACAGGGACCAGCCACTGGATGTGCAATGTGCAATCATTTCAAATAGATGCTCTTCACCAATAATAAGCATTTTGCACTCATGTAAAGTGACAATTTGCGCATAAATACCACCGCTGGACAATGTGATGGTCTATTTTTATTTTTGGCTTCACCGGGAAGAGGCTGGTTGTAAAAGGAGAATGATGAGCTTCATGGTATTTACTCTAGTCAAACACAAAACCCTTCATACCACTCTGAGTGAAGTTAAAAAAAAATCTTTACCTGTATTTTTTTTTATTTTCAGATGATTGTTTACCAACTGCTACAAAACACAATGCAGTCATTATGCAAGTGAGAACGTGGGTATTAAAAAGTACCAGAGATTTGAAAAGCGGAGAGGAAGAAACTGTCAAGCTGCCTGGTGCAGTGAAAACATAAAATTACCCTTCGAGCTCAAGTGCTCACCCAAGACCAAGCTATTGTAGGTGCTGCGCTCAAACAGCCGAATCCTTGCAAACAAACACTTAAAAAGCGTGTGATTTCAGCTCTAAATTAGTCTAAACAGAAACTAATATAACCTGAATGCTAAAAATAAAAACACAGCCGGGATATAAATAATCCTAGCAACTAATGTCAGGGACACTTCCTCCCTTTGTTACACACAGAGAAGGGTAAAAATAAAGAGTGGAGAGGGAGAAGGAACGGAAATGGGCGGGCGAGATTACATTAAATAAAGCCAAGGGAGAGACAATGTAGGCAGTCGAACAGAAAGCGTGTGAGAGAGAGTTCTAACTTAACACTTGGAAGATAATGATGTGGTCCTGTCATGGAGAAGAAGAATGTGACAACTTTCCCTGCTTCTCTTTAAGACACAAAAGATGAGTAGCTTGAGGCCAATGAGGCCAGGCGGAAGCGTTAATTTCGAGCAACAAAAGAAGAATGGAGTCAGGGAGGTTTGAATGTTAGTGGTGGTGTGTGTTTGGGTAACAGGGAGAAGAGGTGAAGGAATGAATAATAAAAAGTGGGAAATCAGTCAGGGGTGCTGGTTCTCCATCAGTCATTGGGCAACGCAAGCACTCAAACCTAGGGTCAGTTTAGAGTAGCTACATTTCCATTGACCATGAAAATGCGCAAATTAGAATTTCAAAAATAAATTTGTTCAATGGAAACACGTCAATTTTGAAGAAAATTACGTTTTTTGACAAAATGTTTTTGCGCTAGGATGAGGTGGTATTTCAGCCATATCGAAATTGGTGTTTTTCGCAAAACTGCAATGGAAACACTTTGTTCGCATCACGGGAGTCATGTGATCAACAACCGGCTGTTTCTACTGGCGAAAAAGACGATGACGAAGAAGATAACAGGAAGTAGAAATAGTAGTAATATCACAAAAGTAGTATAAAGTAGTAAACTCACCGACTAAAATTTCCCAAAAAAGCATACGTAGCCACTCCCAAGTAGGGACTTGTCTCTGGAAAGCCTTGATAAAAGACGCCGACATCTCCCCTGATGATGAGCGCTAGTGTCGTGGTAGCAATGTGCCATGTGTTTACATCCATTGCCGCCATGTTCATAATGACTTATCATGAGAACAAGTGTATTCACGCGTGACTTTAATAGCATTTCTTACTTAATGGAAACACCGCAGTTGCGAAACTGTGTTTTTCGACATTAACAGAATATCGACAGTTTTGCGCACATTTGCAATGGACACAGCTAGTGTCCATGTATGTATTGCATGTATTCCAAACCGGAATACTGTACGTGCATTCGTCTCATGAAAGCTCCCGACTAGGAGGGTCCATCTTTCTGCAGGAAATGCCTAATTTGCTCTGTTTAGTTTGAAGTTTTACACACATCATGATGTACTAACAAAAAAAAGTTTGGTGCCCAACACAAAGGAGAAGCGTTATTCTTAGATAAAAGCGGAACTTGCTTTAATATCCACACTCAAACTCACTGAAGCTGAAAAAAAAAAGTCAAGGAAATGAAATGATGACATAATTTGACTTGATTTTAAAATATGCAGCTTGGTGACAAAAATAGCACCACAAAATATCAACCAGGTCTAAAAATATCTAATCGTCTGACTTCCCATCAGAAGTGTGGTTTTTGAAGTGACGCTTCCCAGCAATCCATTTTACTAAACTGGGCCGCTGATCAAAAATAATAAAACTTTTTGCATGTGGGAGTAAAATAAGGTTTCATTTCTGTAAATGAAAGAATAAAAGGAGTCTTTGATCTATTTGGGGCTATACTTGGAAGCTGCTCAGGTCCATGACATGGCTTGACATGGGGTTGGAGGGGACTCTCTCATTACAGAGCTTAAGTTTGCAAAGGCTGTTATTCCCTAAGCAGAGGTTGGTTGGTGGCACATTGAATAATGGATGATTGGACCCAGATTCTCTTTTTTTTTTTTGAGACAAAAAGGACTTCTAGAAAAGGAGGGGCTGCTCAACACTTGTGGCCTTGGTGACATATATGAGAAACCTTCCAACATCACCAGCACACACAATAAAGAGCATTGTGATGAAAGCCCAGACAAGATCACACATCTTTTCTCTAATTGCCTGTGGAGGCATTTTATTGACAGAATGCATTCCTTAGCCCCCTGCCCTAACCATTAACCATCGCAACCGAATGCCTTTAATCCTAGCCCTGACCCTTATCATGACCTAAAAATAACCCTAAAACCAAGTCTTAATCCTGAAAAATGTCTTTGCACCCAAGGGAACCACATTTTGGTCCTTATAAGTAAAAAGATTTCCATAGGTTGGTTTCAAGCCAAGTTTTGGTTTCAGTATAGAAACACACACATATGCAAAGACTCTGAATAAAGCCATATGTGCATAAACCCATTTGACAGCCACTGATTAACAGCCAGCAGCAGGTGCAGTTGGCAGAGGAGGGAAACGTGCATGTGTGTTTGCTCATATGAAATAGAAAACCAGGCTGCTCTTTAACCACTGTATGTATGAGCCACAGTAATGCGTCCTTTCCCCCAACCATACATTAGCTGGTCTAAAACAGGAGCACAGGGGGATAACTTAGATGGCATACAGGAAAACCCCCATTAATCTCTCCACCACATGAAGAGGAGAGAAAAAAAATATCTGAAACACGAGGACTGGCTTTGTGATATAAAATGTACAG